CAGTCCCATAGCTGAGGAGTTTCCAGAGAAGGGACCACTGAATATACCTGAGGTGGTATAATTCATACTACGTAGCAGCTGCGCTGTAGAAGGAAAATTGGAGAACAGAAGTCAGCTTTGGGCACTCAAAGTCTTCTTGTTTCAAATGCTGAGAGTTCTCACTGGGCCAGGACAGCAGGGGTGCTCGTTCTGGAATGTCAGACTCGCCACTCGCTGGACGCGTGCTCTTAGATAAACGAACCTCTCTGTGTCCCCGTCTCCTCACCTGGAAATAATGAGCTTCCAGTTTGTGAAGCGCTGCTCTCAGCCTGTGCCAGAGCTTGTTTTATTGATTCCACATGATATTAAGGGGTAGGCGGTATTACCGTCCTGAATTACGGATGAGGACCCAGGCTCAGAGGCACACAGGCAGCCAGCAAGGGGCCAAAACAGGAAGCGAACTCAGAACCTCTGCTTCCAGACTCTACATGTTTTTTTTTTAATTTAAATTTTATTTATTTATTTTTTAATGAAGGTACTGGAGTTCGAACGTGGGACCTCATGCATGCTAAGCAGGAACTCTACCACTGAGCTATACCCCCCTGTTAGACCCCACATTTTAAAAACCTTTATATGTGTTACCAACCTGATAGCAGCATTAAGACAATTAAATGAGATAGGATTAAGATATTGGTAAGAGAACTAAATGGGGTAGATAATTCAACCCTGGTGGGAGTATTAAATAATTCAGTGAAATAAGGAACACGGGATTCTTGGCCCTTAGTAACCACTCTGTAATTATCAACGCTAGCACGTGCCAGTATCATTTTTTCATCTTCGTCCTACAAGGCTCCCTCCTAAAAGTTGTACTAATAGCCTAAGTAGACGTTTCATTTGAAATGTACAGTTGTGTTTTGTTGAGTTTTGTTTTAAACCGAAGACTGACATTTCCGTGTCGAGGAATAGCTAAGCTTAGTTCTGTTTTTTGCCTTAAACATCTGTGGTTGGTTCCACTGACTTCTTTGGAAAGATATATGAGGAAAGGGAGCCCTCAGAGCCAGCCAGCCAGGGCACCTGCACAGGCACCTGGGTCTACCTGTGGTGACAAGGGCCATCTGCTGCTCACCTGGGCAGCTCCCCTCATCTCCTCCCCCTACCCACCGTGGGCACCAGGGCAGCCCCGTGTGGAGCCGACAAATCCCAGGAAACACACCGAAGCAAAAGGACTCAGGACACCAACTCACGTGTACCTTTTCAGACTAAGCTTTTATTTTTTGATATTACAAACCAGTTTTCTTTATTCACAAACCACTGTAAGTGATATAAACACTAATTTCTAAAGACAGATATACACATTTTCTGGGTTTGCAGATTGCGTGATGTGTGTGTTAAGAAGTCACTATATGCCACACATGATATTAATCTTTTTTTCCATAATTCATAATAGCAATAGTTATTTAGATAAATGAAAACATTCCAAATAAATACTGTTTTAAAAAAATCCAAAATGTTTGTTTACATCTCTGACATACATTTTAAAATGACTTATTGGCCTCTTGGAGGAGTGCCTGACAAAAGATTCTGCAACATCAGTTGGCACCCACTTTGCTCTAAATGATTTTATTAAAACTACATACAATCATGGGGGAAAGTACAGCTCATCGATGAAAATCAAAACTGCAAATTAATTTTACTTTAACCAACACAGTAAGAAGTCTATGTTTGTGATTCCAAATACAATGCAAATTCTGGATTTTTGACCTCGGAGGGAAATGGGAGAAATCTTTCTTCTCCCAACCCCTCTGCTCCTTCCGCCTTTCTCCCCTTCCGGGTAGGATGCCTGCAGCATTTTAATACATTGTTTCCCTTAAAAACATCAACCAGGCACCCGTCGTCATAACACTGTCTTCCAGGTAGGGGGATGAGAATGTCTTAGTGATGCTATAAAAACACCCCCTTGCCCCTCCCCTCCCCCACCCAAATAAGTCTGGTGAAAAGAATATTTGCTCTGCTTTTGGCGCAGTTTCCCCCGTTTCTCTCTCTCTCTTTTTTTTTTTTTTTGCGTTTTTTTTTTTCAAGATCACGGTGATCTGTCTTAGATAGCGAAGCTACAGAAACTTTGTTTTCAAATCTTGTGAAACTTTATTGATGGTTTAATATCCAACCGATCTTATTGCATGCACATAGGATGACAAGAGAAAGCTGGATCACAAACACTTTTTTTTTTTTAAGTTTTGTCTGGTTTTGTTTGAAAGCAGAGTTGTTACAGCGGATTGGCAGGTTCACAGCGGTGAGTTGATAGCTTTACTAAAGTGCACACCATACGGCCTGCACGATACACATGGAGATTTGAACTCTGGCAGCAAAACTACTGGGGACAGCTTGCTGCAGGATTTTTTTTGTTTTTAATTTCAATACAAAAACAGGAAGATCCGTGACAGATACCCCAACTGAGATTAACTTGTAAACAGGACAACATGGAAAGACTTCAAACAGAAGAAGTACAAACTGCAATTTTTCGGCTGTCATTTCTGACCCTGCTTCAGAGGTGTGGGATGGGGGGGAACTTTGTTCTTTGGGGATGTCGAAGGTGGACCTACTTTTTTGCTTCCTTCTGACAAGTGTCCTAGGCCTTGGAGACAAAAAACAAACAAACAAACAAACAAACAAAAAACAAAAAAAACCCCTCAAGATACTGATTTGAGAGAATCCTTGGGGACCAGGAAGGATGGGAGGGCAGGCTCTCACCAACTGAAAAATTGCAGGTTGCTTACACAACAGACATGTTTCAAAAAGTACCAAGCTGATGAAAATACCGTGATGACCTCTACCCAATGACTGCAATACTTGTAAAAGGCGTCTAGAAATCCGAATATGATTATCACGTGATTCCATAAAAATGATACGTCTGTCTCTAACGGTTGTTCTACTCGGCTAAAACTAAAAGCTTCATTAAGACTGTTTCTAGAACTGAACAACTCCACTGCACAGATGTAAATTGTATACATTTGTCTTTTTTAACTGGTACAAAGAATTTTAAGTTTTTATTACTTTCTCTTTTTTTTTTGGAAAAAAAGAAAAAAATAGAAACAGTGCTTTTTATCACCTTTTTATTAATGTTATTTTTTTTCCCTCCCATAATATAAAAGTCAGCAATGATATCAATAATTTATTATACTGGAAGAAATATAAAAAGAATGCTCATTGATAGCCTAACTAGCAATTTTTGCCTAGATAACTAGCGGCTGGTTAAGAAGCTGAATACTGTCGGGTGGAATGGTTTAAAGGGCGGGTTTGCACAGCTTCATTCAGCTCAGATGCAAAGTGCCTCTAGCATCACCCCCTTAACAAGGTAACCTTTGGCTTGAACCGACAATGAGTAACTTAGAATCACTGACATATATCTATGTAGATATATCTATATAGGGAAATATATCTACATATATATATATACATGGTCGTTGGTGCAGTGGGTCGTTTAGATTCATCAGTTACTATATTTTTTTTTCTTTCAGCCAAAACCCAGCCCCAATCCCCTAGGTCCCTCCCACCCTTCCCCTTTCATAAAATAAAATAATGCAGATGCAGAAAAAACATGACTACTGTAGTCACTTACACTCTTCCCAACAGCTGATAACCCCAGTAGCTTTAATATTCAGCATATAGAATTCATTTACATGATATAGCACTCTGGATATGGCCCTAACACCAGTTTCGATTCATAGCTAGCATCTCTCTAGATCAACCACAAGAACTCCTACAGCCAGCAACCGAACTACGGAACCTTCAGAAATGAAAGACCCACAATATTAAAATACACAGAACAAAATATCTGAGGTATAAGATAAAAAATGTAATTTTTTTCCTCTTTTTATTTTTATTTTTTATCATTTTTTTTTTAGATGCTAAAATGATGCACTACTGCATGTATTGCAATACCCAGGCCTCGGAAAGCTTCCTTTCTCCCCACATTGGAAGGTTTTTATGGTTTTGTCATTTAGTATGGAGCAAAACGGTTGTATCCCCCTCGGTATATACTAGCCTGCAATGAAGAAAGAACGAGACCCACATCATCAGCATGGCTCCTAGTCTTGGCATCAGTCAAGGGTGCAAAAGCATTCTGAAACAAAGCAATTTAAGGGGTGTGTTTTTTACATTTTCCTTTTGCAACACGTGGATCATCAAAAAAGACTAATGTGAAAAATAGACACTCAGAAACAACCAAAATGGAGGCACCCCCTACCCATCCCAGGTCACTCTTGGAGAACTGAAGGTAGGGCCAATCCTGACCGCCCCCAATAGCTCCTTATAAAGAAAAATCCCTGTAAAACCAAATTCTATCAGCCAGCCCTGTGAGCTAAAAGGACTCTGATGCAAACTGGACAACTACAGGATTGGCACTGTCTCATTTTACTGGCTTGTTCGACTTGTCAATAAGACTATGTTCCGTCGGGAGAAGCTCAGTCTACACTCAAGAGGTTGAATGCAGATGACTTTTCGAATGTAGTTGTTCAACTCTCCTTTCCAACACCTTCCTCAAGCGGACCAGGTGTTGAAGCAGAGTGGTTGAATGCAAAATCAGGAGGAGAATTTAAATCAACTTCTTACTTGACTTGCCTCAGCAATTTGTATGGAAGTTGCTCTTGAGAGGGGAGTTGTGCAGATGAATTGCTTGATGTAACTGAGCTTGTGCAAAAAATAATGCGTTTCCAAATCGTTGCGGAATTTCTATGACCAAGCTCCAGTAAATTGTCTGGCCATGGCTTTAGATGGCTCTGAGGTGGCACTTCACTATTTCCATTGTCTAAAAGTTTGGGCGATTCAAAGGAATGCCTATGGGGATTTATTTTTAGGATAAGGACTGGTAATTCTTGACCCCAAGCAGAAAACTGCATGCCAGAAGCTTTGTAATGATTGCATACGCTCTCACGTGATGGGCACGTCTTAACTGTACTCAGGAGTTTTAGTGCATAGAAGTTTGAACAAGTACAGGCAAATTCACCCCACCCTCACCTCCCCTTTTTGCCCTCCCCCCACCCCTCCCAAAACAAAAAGCCAGATCCCCCCCAAAACAAAAGACAACCCCCAGACTGATTCCTTCTAATTCCTTATGTACTAGGCACACACACAAAGTGTGCCCCTCTGTCTACTTTCTCTCCTGGGCGACTATGACTTTAAACATGAATTGTAAGTAGGGGAGGAGACGGCTAGTCAGTACTTCTCAGTCTGCCTGACAGCAGACGT